ATGCAGTGCTGCTTTGCTAGATTTCACTAACCAATAGCATGCCATGAATTTCAGAGAGCAGCTTGTTCACACTAGTTTCGTAAGTTGGAACACTTTCGTAAGTAGAAGCAAATTTTTTCTGGAGGGGCATTTCGTAAGTTGAATTTTTCATTAGTAGAAGCATTCGTAAGTAGAGGTACCACTGTATGTTTTCTGGTAATCTCTATTATGGTGGAAATAGAGAAAACTACCGTATATTGATTCTGAACTACACTGCCATCCTGTGTCAGGCTGAATTCCCATCAGCACAAGCAATAAGATTGCACATCTTGTATCTTGACACATCTTTTCCTGGTTTAGTTTGTTCCTTCTACTACATTCTTCAAAGTCAGGGTGGGCAACTGCAGAGGGGATGAGGGTTGTCTCCCCTCCATGGGTCTCACTGGCACTCCCAGCATGACCAGAAATAATGTTATCTTGTCACTTCTGAAAACGTCATGTTTCTGCTTTTTTCTCTGAGGTATGGGGGGATTATGAGAAATAGTCAAAAGAGAAGGGAATATACACTGCGTATATTTTTTAATGATTTTGCTGCTTTTTTTGTGGGGTTTTTGGCAAAAAATTTAAAACAATGGGAGGGGACCTGGGGGCCTTGGAAGAACTTTGAGGTCCCCAGAGTCCAATCTTGGGAGGGGGGAGAGCATGTACAACTTATGGGCCACAGTTCCCCCATCACTACCATAAATGATTGCTAGAGACTGTGATTTTGAATCATTTTAAAAATGTCATTATTGTAGAGCTGTGTTCTGTATTTCATGCTGCTATGAGCATCGATGTTGCTCTTGTTCAAGAAGTCTTGTGTAAATCTGGGGCTTGTTCAGAACTGAGCTTCTGTGGAGACAATAGTTAATGCATTAGACTGCTTCTGCTGTCTCTTTTAGGGAAGGGCAGCCAACATCCGTTTGGAGCCATGAACATCCCTCAAATGCCATCTGTAGCCCAGATTGGGATTTCTGTGGAGCTGCTGGAACTCTTGGCTCAGCAAACTCCTGTAGCAAGTGCTGCTGTATCATCAGTTAATTCATTCACAGAGGTAATTGGGAAGCTGTTTTGATTCCAGTTATCACTGGCAGAGAAATCTTATTGTCTTGGCTTTGAAGCACTGGACATTGTCCAGTGTGGACAACTGATGCACTAATGAATTGTTCACTTGTTAGGGCAATGCTCATTCAGCTGTCTCCAGAAGAGTCGTGAGATTTGTGACAGAAACTTATATATTTATTTTCTAACCTTTCTAACAGCACAGGATTCAAGGCAGCTTGCAACCATATAAAAGAAAGTACAATTAAAAAAAAACATTAATACAAATGCTTTTTAAAAAACCTGCAATTAAACCACAATTCTGTTTGAAAATCACAAGCCAAAAACTGTTTATAAACAACCATTTAAAACATAATAAAATATAGTCACAACACATCAGTTAAAAAGTTCCATCTGCATCAACAAGTTTAAAACCAAAAACTTGCCTAAATAGAAAGGTCTTTGCCTGCTGGTGAAAATACATTTTCTTTTTGTTTAACCTGTTTATATTCTATCTGTCTCCCAGCATTTTGAGATTTTTGAGGCAATTTTTAAAAATCACAAAATTTTGTTTTGACTACTGGGGACACAAAAATGACACTGCTTTGCCCACCCCCTGCTTTACATATAAAACAATTTTCTGGATAATAACTGAATTCCCATGCATTTTGTTGAAATTTTGGGACCAATTTAAAAATAGCCCTAAGTTTATAATCCTTATAATTTGATGTTGTAGGAAAGGCATTGTTTTACTAACGTTGATGGTTTCTCCTTTTTTTTATTGGACTTTTTGTTCAATAAATTGGCAGAAGCTAAGAGGTTCCTTACAGTTCAGGTTTTACTTATAGTTATGGACTTTTTTTAGCTCCGTCTGTCACAAAAAACAGAATTTTACATTGCTATGTGATCCCAGAGGCACTTAAAGTTAAACTATATATAGATATTTTGTCTTTTTTTGCCTGGCAGATGAACCTGGCATTTCTAATACCAGCATTAAATATTCTTTTAAAATAAGAATAGAAAACTCCTTTCTCTCCTATCATTTTGATGTGGCGGTTTGGCAACTGTGTATGCGGACTGACAGAGGGCCAAAAGCATTTAGAGTATGGAATTATCCTATCTATCTCTCTAATACATACATCCCCTGCTTCCTAACTAATGTTCTTGACAGTTGCTTGTAAATTTATAAACAATATTTAGTGACAAAATTTGACACAAAATCTCCCTTTGAGAAGGGCCACTTTCTTTCTAGAGAGAAACAGTCTCACCCTAATGTTGGTGAAATAATCTTTTTTTGTATTTCTCTTTTCCCCTGGCTTTCACAACTGCTTGTATTTGCCCCAGCTTGCCTCCTTGCTGACATGTCTGGAAGCAGTCTCCTCATCTGAAGCCTTTGCTGAAACTGGTCACGATTTAACAATTCCATATGGATCAGCTGAGCATGTAATCACTGCTGTGTAGAAACTAGAGATATCTACCATTGTTCTAGCACTTTGAGAGTTGTATCCAGTGGTTGTGCAAGGAGAAGGCAGCTTGTGCAACCAGTCTTTCCCTTTCCCTTCTGCACCTCCCCCTTTGAGATGTCTGTAACTTCTGAAAATCCACTCTTTAGGGTTTGAGAGGTCTCTTGAATGATGGAAGAGTGTTGCAGTGCAAGAATGGAATTGCTTATAATCACATGGGGAGTGGTGTTGCAGTATGTTTGAATGCTTTTGTTTAAATCATACATATATAAATGCATTCAT